CTTTCCTGGGGCAGGATTTTAGCCTCTTATATCACCCCGGTTCACGCAGTGCAGAGGGAATGCTGGGGTCAGCTTTTCGTCCTCCTTGTTCGCTGGCTCCAGGCTGCGTCCCAAGCTGCCAGGCAGGCTGGTGCTTGGTTGGATGCCTTTCAGCCCACCCCCTGCTCCCAGGCTGGGCATCTCGCCTTTTTGCAGAGCTATAAACACTCACTCATCCATGCAGGCATCCGCGTAGCCTTTGTTACTGCTCTCTGGTAAACCTTTGTGCAACTGATAGAGGTGGCACAGGCTGAGCACCCTGACAGCACTGCTGGAGAGACTCAGCAGCGACCTCCCCCACCTCTCACACCTGGCTGAGGCTTTTTCTGGGTCTCCGGTCTGCTTTTCTGTCACTGGTGCACCCCCCGGGGCGCTAGCCTGTCTGCGTAGACCTCGAGAGCAGGGCTGAAATGTAAAGAGCTGGGCCTGTGCCAGCAGGAGGCAGTTTCTGGCTTTTTCTTCCTCAGAGACCGAGGCCCAGAGGAAAGAGATGTAAATGGTGTCCGAGACTTGTAGCTGTTGGCTGATGCCAGGAAGGCAGCCAGTAGGCACCAGGCGGGAGAGCAGGGGACGGGGCAAGGCAGGAGCAGCATGGCCATAAATGGCTGGCAGTGGCAGCGGGTCATTCTGCTGTGGTCAGATACAGCAGACGCAGGAGACAGGGTGGGTGATGCCCAGGACCATCAGATGCTGGAGCGAGTGCTAATCCACGTACTCTGCATGCCCTTGGCAGGTTACTGCACCTCTCTGTGCCTCCGTTTCCTGCTCTCAGAAATGGGAACAAGAATAGCACCCCTTCCAGGGTGGCTGTGGGGATTGAATGAGTTCATATACGTAGAACACTGAGAAAGGCCGCGTGTTTGCTGACAATGTCACCCCATGTACCTGGCCTCATGTCCATCTTGAGGGTGGAGTCAGGATCTTAAAGGGACCTCTGACTGCTCTGACAGCTTCTTTTCCCACTGTTTCCACTCTGTCTGTCTTTTTTCCCCTCACAGAAATCATCTGTAATTTTCTGGGGTAAATTTCTTCATCCCCAGATTGCTCAAAGCCTTTCTACCCTTGCCCGTTTCTGTTGAGCATTCATTGATGTTTAGCAGAGTCATGTGTCTCCACTGTTGGGAGCTCAAGACACCATGGAGAAGTGAAAGCTACATTGTAGGTGATTGTGGTGTCTTCTCCCAGCTTTGCTAGACTCACTGACTGGTGGGAAATTTCACTGGTTTGTGTCTTCACTATTTTTGCTTCAGCTGCACTTCTGATAGTGCCATTAATGTTCAGTGAAAACAGAAAGAAGCCAGGTGGGCAGAAAGAGCAAGCAAAGAAAAGAGGCCAGAATAATCCATGAGTTTCAATTGTTTTCTAAGCCATCTTGGTGAATTTTCATGATTCACATCAATGTAGGATCGTGCTCTTACCGGATAACTGCATAAAAGCAAGAATATGGTCTGAAGGTAAACTGGTCCACCCTAAATTCAGCCCTTCACCTTGGCAATGCACAAGTTCTGTTGCCAAAGGACATCCCTCTTGGAAGTCATTCAGGCATTTCAAGGCAAGTGGCCAAAGTGTAACTCAATGTCTTTCCCCACAAACCTACATTTCTTCCTCTATTTCCTATTTCAGTTAAACTTCACATCAGACTAGTTGCTCAAGCAGGAAACACCAAGGTACCCTCCTCTCCTTCTTTTTCTACACCTCACCCCCCAGGCCTGTGGGCTCCTTTCTCTTGTGCCTCTTCTATATATCCACTGATTTTGTCTGCATCTGTAAGTATTGCTGCGTAGCAACAACCCCAGACTCAGTGGCTGAAACAGCAGTCATGCATTATTTCCTGTGTGTCTTGGGTCACCTGATCCAGACCAGATTCAGCTGGTGGGTGTTACCACATGTCTTTGGTTGTCGAGGGTTGGCTGATCTAGGCTGGGCTCAGCGAGGGTGGTTTTGCTCCATGTGTCTTATATCCTCCTTCTAGGAACAGTGGGCTAACTGGAGCATGTTCTTCTCATGGAGATGTTGGAAGCACAAGAAGGCAAGCCAAAACATGTCACTTCTGTCTCTTTCTACTGGCCAAAGCTAGGCATATGATCCAATCCAAAGTCAATGGGTGGCAAAGGACACTTCACCCATTTAGTGCAAGGAACTACAAAGTCACATGGCACAGACTAAAGATACAGGATAGGATAAAGAACTAGCACCAATAATTCAATCTCCTACACTTCCAAGTCCTTGTTTTCTTTTGTCTGGACTTTTCCCTAGTCTTCTAAGTCCTTACTTTGCCTGTAGTCAACCTCCCCCTCACTTGATCCCAATATCCCTTCATTAGAACCTTTCATTACCTACCAAATTGAGCTAAAGTCCCATATAACTTGGCTCTAATCCATTTTCCCAGGTGCATCTGTTGCCACGTTTCAGAATTACTCACTGCCCCATCAAATATGCTTATTTTTTGCACAGTTCTGTGCCTTCTTGACGTCTTTCCCTTCCTACAGTAATCTCTCCTGCATTTGAAGGTATCGTAAATGTGATGCATTTTCCCAGGTGCATCTGTTGCCACGTTTCAGAATTACTCACTGCCCCATCAAATATGCTCATTTTTTGCACAGTTCTGTGCCTTCTTGACGTCTTTCCCTTCCTACAGTAATCTCTCCTGCATTTGAAGGTATCGTAAATGTGATACCATTTACCCTTCAAGGCCCAGTTCACATGGTGCCTCATCCAGGAAGCCTCCTTAGAAGCCTTGCATAGAAAAGTTGGTCCTTCCTTTGTCACATAGTTATAAATCAGAATTACATCGCGCTCATATTTAACTCATACACATTTGGGAGTACCATACACGCTCAGCCAGAGGGAGGGAAGGAGAGAGGGAGGACAGTTTAAATAATTTCACCCACCATTCTAGTCTGTGTTCATGGGAGAACTGAGACTTGACTCTGCTCTTACCTTAGTCATCCTTAGGGTCCAGAAGCCCCTCAAGCTCCTGAATGCCTCTTGTAGAGTGAAGGGCATGGTTTGCTGGGTGTGGGTCTAGTGCTTAAAGAAAGACTATTTTATTTCCACTCTATTCTAACCCTGCAGCAAGCCAGTTATTTCATCTGATGTTCAACCAAAGAAACATCTATCTGCAAGTCAGTACAATCTGGTACTTTGCTGGAAATTCAGAGGGCTTTCAGTGGTAATATTTTCTTTAAGTAATCTTTATCTCTTACTGACTTTAGAATCTGACTGCCCCCCCCAAAAAAATGCTACTCTGTTGTATTCCCTATAGACATATATCAAATTGAATTTTATTTTTTTATGCCTATGTTTCCCAAGTAAATCATGAAGTTACCACCTGTGGCTCATGGTTCTTTAGAGGGCTGCTCCCTGTAGTTGTGCAGGTTATGCACTGTAAAACTCTAAGAGAGCACTGTTTATGCCAGAGTCTAGTAAACTCCTATGGCCCTCAGTGGTGCCAGCTTCCCTGTTTCCTCAGTGCCTGGTAAAGAAAGATTGATTGTTCAAGAAATGTGCAAATGAACGAGTGAGTGAATGAGAGCTATGGCAACAATAAACTGAGCTGTTTTCAAGTGAGATATCTAACAGAGTTGAGATGAAAATTCAGACAGGGTTTGATCCAACAAAATTAAAGCCATGTTATTGCAGGTGCATATGGCGAAATGGACTTGCAAGCCCACTTGGAATGTGTTGTTTACCTACCACAAAAAAATTACCTTTCATCCTGTGAATTAATTGAGGTTATGGTTCTGAAAAGCATACCACATTTCTCAAACATTATTGACCACATGATTATTTGATGCCTAATACCCCTAGTGGACATTGTGAGGCATGTGTGTGAATAGACGAATGGAGAACACAATTGGCCTAATGATGTCTTGATTTCCACCACATGATTATTTGATGCCTAATACCCCTAGTGGACATTGTGAGGCATGTGTGTGAATAGATGAATGGAGAACACAATTGGCCTAATGATGTCTTGATTTCCATTAGATTAGTCATAAAACTTATATAAATGCAAATAGAGCCATCTTTTTAGAAAGCAAGGTTTTTATCAGGTATAGTTATCTGAATTAGAAATATGCCAGTGTGGTTAGCGGACTGCTACCCCATGGGAAAGTGCTGCCAAGTTAAACAGTCACCTTCATACTTGGATTCGATACTTCTGCCAGAGGACACAGGGATGTAAACTGGCCCGTTCAGCCTCAGTGGGCTTCTGGGTGGATGTGCCCGAGAAGAGGCCCAAAAGGCAGGCTTGCACAGGCAGTATGGCCTCACCATGCCCTCCTCACAGCCGCAGTAAGCTCTGACAGCCAGAACACGGTGCTTGCCGGGACACCAGGCTGTTCTTCCCTGTGACTCAGCAACAAGATGATCACAACCGGCCCAGCCCCCCTCCCCCCCCATGCCAGCGAGGCAAGATGCCTCACCAACCAGGGCTTGTCATGTCAATTAGAGCAAACTCCAGCAGGACAAAAATGCCTCTCTGGTCCTTTATGCCCATGCCTTCCTCTGCCAGGCATATAGGAAGAAGCCTATAGGTGTCTGTTAAATGAACAAAATAAGCCAATTAAATAAGCAAACCAGAGGAGTGCAGTGGGAAAGGGAACATTTGTGGGGTAAGGCACTGCAGTTATTTCAAAATAAATGGCATGAGCTGTGATGCTACAGCATCTTCTCTAATGGGCCTGTTATGACTTCTAAATCAGTAAAGACCTATACCACTCTTCAATCAGATGAGAACCATTGGTAGCCATAACTTTCCTCTTTAGCTGCTAGGACACTACCTTAGTTTATGCATGTGAACTTGGGATCAGAAAATCACAGATCATGGAATCAGTTGTTATAATTTGGCTTCTCTTCCTGCTAAGGCCATATGTGTCATCACTGGACACCTTAGTGAAATAATCACAACTTCATTCATTCATTCATTCATTCATTCGTTTTTGTGTGTGTGCTCCCAGGTGAGCTCTCTGTGGAAGAGGCACAGGACCCATTCCTGATTAGCATCCACATAATCGCTGATCCGGGGGAGTCCCAGCCCCTGCAGGAGGCCATCGACAAATTGTTGGCCTGGATCCACCCGGACCTGCCCCTGTTCCGGGTGTCGGAGCGGCGCGCATGCCGGCGGCGGCGGAAGCCCCCCAAGGGCTCGCAGCCTGCGCTGGCGGTGGTGCTGTTCCTGCAGGAGGAGTACGGCGAGGAGCAGATCCTGCAGCTGCACCGCACGCTGCAGCGGCCGCCCTGGCGCCACCACCACACCGAGCGCGTGCACGGCCGCTTCCTGCCCTACCTGCCCTGCAGCCAGGACTTCTTCACGCTGGCGCCCGGGACGCCGCTGTGGGCCATCCGGCCCGTGCACTACGGCAAGGAAATCGTGCGCTTCACCATCTACTGTCGCCACGACAACTATGCCCACAGCCTCAGGTTCTACGAGCTGATCCTCCGGCGGAGCCCCAGCCAGAGGAAAACGGACTTCTGCATCTTCCCCATCTTCTCCAATCTGGATGTGGACATCCAGTTCTCCCTGAAAAGACTGCCCTGTGACCAGAGCCCGGTCCCCACCGACTCCTCCGTGCTGGAGTTCCGAGTAAAGGACATCGGCGAGCTTGTGCCTCTCCTGCCCAACCCCTGCAGCCCTATCAGTGAGGGGCGCTGGCAGACGGAGGACCATGACGGGAACAAGATCCTCCTGCAGGTACCCCGGGGACGTCTGTCTGTCTGTCTGTCTGTCTGTCTGGCGGGGGGAACGGAGAAACAAGTCGGTTAGCTATGCCAGAAACCTGTACCTGTTACCGAGTGATGAGTTAGGAAAAAGGAGAGATGAGTGACCCACTGTCCGGCTCCCAGGCCAGGTCAAGATGTCCATACGGGATCTGAACAAAAGAGGCACGAAAGGCTCTTCCCATTGTTTTTTTATTTTACTGTCATGGCCATGCGCCTCGGCAAACATGCTCCCAGCTCTTCTGGGTGCCTCTTTTGTCACCCCTGATTGAGCATCCACTAAATACCCATGGCTCCTGGGGATTTCAAGTGAGCTTGTTTGGATACCTGGGGAATTTGTTGTTAAAGATTCCTGAATCTACTCCAGTGTTCTTACCAATGTGTTCTTCACTCCCACAGAGGAACTTCAGGAAAGCCCATTTGTTTAAAAATTGTAAAACATACAAGTGTTGACATTCCATAGAAAAGATACCTGTTTTCTTTCCTCCGGTGCCTCTCTTGCCTTTTACCCTTCCACCCTTCCACTGCTGGGCAGTAGGTTGTTAAAATTCTGTGATCCCTTGAAAAATGGTTTCCTCATAACATTTTAAGGAGTAAGTGATGTCTGGAGTTTATGGTTTCACAAAGCTTGGGAACGCATGAGTGAATACATTTCAAGGACTAGACGCCCTAGTCCATGTTAACGCCTTGGCTTCATTACCAGCCCCTTCCTCCTCTCATCCTTCCTGTGGTTTTCCCAGACCTGTTAGAGACCAGTCATTATACTCTAGAATTCAAAATTCAGTGTGTTTATTAAAGAATATCCAATACCTGACTCTACCTGATAATGCTTTCCAGACCCAGGCTTTTTTGAATTAAGAGGCAAATCAGTTCCAGGCGTATTATAGGGCTTTATTTTTCTGGAAAGCCTGTACCTCTGGTTTCTTAGTTTTCAGGTTTGGCTTCCTGGAAGGAGAAAGTTGATAGCGAGTTGGGGAATATTGTCTTTAGAGGTGCTGCTGATCATGGTTACTTGAATCACAGCTAAAGGTTCATAGTTTTTGTTGGTTTTGGCTTTAAATACCAGAACTGTAATCCACGTACCATGAAATGAAGTGAGAATTTGGCACATGTGATGAGATAACTGGTTCAAACTACAGCCAGGCCAAATTGCTCAAGACAGAAAGGTCACCTTGAGTTATTTACTATTTACAGAAACTAAATAATTTTCAATTTTGCTTTTGAACAATGCAGATAAGAAACCAAGTAATGTTGCTTTATTATTCAGTAAACTGAATGCTAGCATTTGCTCTATAATCCCTTTTAACATGTGAGAAAATTTTTCTTCTGTTTGAAAACTGCCAATTCTTTATGCAAAATATAACACAGTTGCACCAAGCAAATGCAAAGGATTTTGTTTATAGTAAAAGGCCAAAATGAATGTGATTGTTGCTAAAGTAATTTCTTCCTTTTTGCAGTAATTATAGTACTTTTTTTCTCTTGATCTCTCTAATAACATAAATGAAAGAACAAAGTATGAAAGCTTGACCTGGGCTCTGCTCAAAGAACCACAGAACGAATATGTCAAAGAAGATCCATCCACACATTTTAAGTGGTTAAAAATCTGTGCAGGTACAGGCTTTTGAAGTTAGAGCATCAAAGTGCAAAGGGGTAAGAAGAAAGATTTGTGTCTTCAGACTCAGGAATGCAAGCCTATGGTTCAAAATTCTAATATGTTCAGGAGTGAAATGTTGAGTAGCCTCCTCATAGATCTTGATAATGGCCATTTGAACCAGTTAGTTTTCATCTGCATCACTGCGGAAAGCAGCCTCCTAATCCAGCAAGAAATATGCGCCTGCCCATCTCTTGAAGTTACTTTCCAGTGTAAAAATTTCCATAGTAAAAATCCAGTCTTCAGCAAAATTAAGATATTTAGGTCATGGGGGAGGGGCAGTTGAGAGAAAGCCTTTTTATCCTCCTTCTCTTTAGCAGTATATGTTTCCTAAGTTCCATTTTCAACTATAATTTTTAAGAAATGTCTTTGTTCAGTTGGATAGAGTTATACATTGAAGAAAATCTTGGTTGGGTAGATTTTAGTTGCTTTCTTAAAATGTAGATCGCATTTTACTTACTCATCCCACCCCATTGACAAAGGAGGTGGGGTGACCTTCCCTTCACACCCGTGCCCTTGTCATTGCTGCTCAGAGCTCCCTAAGAACATGAGAGTGTACAGCCCAGCTTGGCTGAGAGAAACAAATTTGGGAAGATTATCTGAAGACAACATTCCTCTCTGTGGGATTACCCAAAGCCAACAGGAGCTGTAGGTAGGGACCACCTTGTCTTGGCCAGCCTCCCTTTGTCCGTGGCTTTTCTGAACTACAGCTGGCTGGCCTACACTGGGGGCACCGTATAAGAAAGAGCCCGGAGAGCCCGCTATTGTGGTTATTCTAGAGGTGCGGGTGAAGGTTGGCTGTTGACACCACTGTGGACGTGAGAAGGTGGACTTTGCTTTTTTAGTTTTTAACTGTGGTAAAACACATATAACATAGAATTTACCATCTTAACTATTTTTAAGTGTACAGTTCACTGGCATTAAGTACATTCACAGTGTTGTGCAGCCATCACCACCATCTATCTCTAGAACTCTTTCATCTTGCAAAACTGAAAGTCTGTACCCATGAAACACTCCCGCCTCCTCCTTCCCCAGTCCCTGGCAGCCACTGTTCTAATTTGTCTTTGTGAATTTGATTGGATACCTCAGATAAGTGGAATCATACGTTCTTGTCTGTTTGTGACTGGCTTGTTTCACTCAGCATAATGTCCTCAAGGTTCATTTATGTTGTAGCACATGTCAGAACTTCCCTGCCCTTTAAGGTTGACTGATATTCCACTGCATGAACATGATGCATTTTGCTCATACATTCACCAGGGACAGACACTTGTGTTGCTTCCCACCTTTTGTTCATCAATAATGCTGCCATGAACGTGCATGTGCAAATACATCTTTGAGTCTCCACTTTTACTACTTTTGGAAATAAACCCAGAAGTGGAATTGCTGGATCATATGGTAATAGTGTTTCATTTTTCGAGGAGAGGCACCACTGTACTGTTTTCTGTAGCAACTGTGCCATTCCACACTCCCACCAACAGTGCACAAAGACGAGACTTGTTTTTTAGGGAAGTAGAGAAAGGCTTGCTTTTTGTGAGATGAAGTGTGTGGTTTTCTGCACTAGAAGGTGACACAGAGGTGACAGTGGATGGAGAGAATGGAACAGACATTGAAGTGGGGCTGTTTTATTGCCCTGCATGCTGCAGGTCTCGACAGTTGGTGTGCATGTGCTTGTGCCCACGCCCCGTCCACCTGGACCCCTCCCCGGCTAAGCACGCTGCTCGCCCCTCACCCTTGCAGGTTTCCCCTCCACATCCCCTCATTAGTGAGTCCTTCCCTGGCCACTCTGTGGAGAACAGTCTCCCTCTCTTGTTCTCTCACACACAGACACCTGTAGTTCCATCATCCTTACCTGCCTTATTTTTCTCCGTCACACTGTCAGCCTTTAGCACACTATGTATTGACTCAGTTATAGGCCTGGCTCTCTCCCTGGCCAGGAGGTGAGCACCTTGGGGGCAGGGACTGAGTCTCTTTTGCCCACTACTGTATCCCTAATGCCTCTGGCAGTGTCTGACACATATTAGGCACCCAGTAAATGTTTGCAGAATTAATAAAGGAAGGAAAGAGAGGGAAGGGAGCGGGAAAGTGGACAGGTGAGAGACTTCTGGCAGAAGGAGCGGTGGAGAACCTCCGCAGGGGAGGTGGTTAGGAGACCATTAAGGCGGTATGTACAGAGTGGCGAGGGCTCCCGCAGTAGGACACAGAGTAGGAGGCTGCGTCATGAGGTGTCTGGGAGGAGGACTCCTCGGGCCTTGGTGTCTTCTGGCTGCTGTGAGTGGGAACCTCCAGCCACCGAAAACAGGAGCAGAGGGTAAAGACAGGTGTGGGGGAGCCATCCCATGCCCTCTCCCTGCCCTTCATACCAGGCCAGTTTCCTTTGGTGCAGGAAATGGTGACCATGCTGACAGAAACCCTTCTCCCCGCAGGCCAGCCATCTGGCCACAGGAGAGGCCCCCTTCTACCAGGGGAGGCTGCAAGAGTAAGGGTGGGCTCAGCTGGTGTCTCTGGTAAGGCCAAAGACACAGTAGTGGCCCACCCTCCTGGTTTGGCACCTCTGCTTTTTGCTGCCAGCGAGGGAGACAGCCACCTCCAACTGGGCAGCTTCTTGCCTGGGAATGACCTCATGTGGCAAGAATTTACGTAAGACTAGTAATGATGTGATAACTGATATTAATTGCACACTTAGTAGGTTCCATGCTTTGGGTTAAGTGTACTCTAGTGTCCCACCTCTCTCAGCATTTCTATGAGCCGGGACCATTCTAATCCCCATCTTGCAGATGTAAACACTGAGATGGAGGTCAGAGACCTGCCCACTCCCAGTATTAACAATGGTGAATGGTGGTACTGGGAATAGACTAAGGCACGTGGACTCAGGAACCCAGTAAGGCCCCAGGCATTCTTGGTACTCCTGTCTTCAACATTAGCAGGCATGAAAAGCACATGGAAGGCTTGTCCGAATACAGATTCCTGGGCTTCGCCACCAGAGACTCAGAGTAGGTCCAGACTAGGCCTTAGGCTCTGGTTTCTAACCAGCTCCAGGTGCTGCTGCCAGGAGCTGCTTCTAGTCACCTTTGCTTGCACAGTGTGTCCCACAGCAGGGTTGGCCAGCATCGCTTCAGGTTTGTTTACTACCACTGAAGACACTTCCTCTTTGTAAAGAATTAATACACCTTAATAGCAGGCTTGGTACAGAACATCAAGAGCACAGTCACAAGAGGTCTCTGAAGAGTGAACAAGCCTGCCTCAAACTGTCTTTCTCCTGTGTCCAGCCCAAGCCCAACATCTGCTGCACAGTCGCCGCTTACTGAGCATCTGCTTACCTCTTC